GTACAACATCAGGTGCGGAAATCTTAAACTCTTGCTCTTTCACTTGCAACCAGGGAAAATCCTAAAACTGACCGTCAGAAGCAATCGTTACTTTAGAAATAACAACCTCATATGCAGAATTACTATTAAATGATATATTTGAATATTCCGTAGTGTGGAGCATAATTTTAAAAACGGCATTATCAGGAACCGGATCTAAATAGGAACATGCAGTTTGCAATTTAAGACAAAAATCACGCAAATCTTGCTCCAATTTTAAATAAATTTGATCCCTAAAAGAAATAATAGTATTATTATGCACAACTAGAGCACTATGTCTACTTATTAAAGTTGTTCTGTATTGAGAGAATGTCAAATACAAATCGTTCGTGGATCGTCGCTTCAGCACCAATAATACACACAAACAATTTCCGTAATGAGCATGCTTTCGCATGATATTTGACCGCTTTTAAACTTTCAGTAATGTACTCGTTCAGTTGGGGATGTACGGAACGATGAACTATGACACCATATTTTTTTCGCTTTACGAAAATTTGCTTCGGGTACAGCTGCCTCAGGTAGAGTATATTATGAATAACCACTTCGCAAAATTCGCATAATATGTTGACAATAACTACAATAACATGAAGTTACAACTACAAGTATGAATGTGAAGGATGTAATACTTTCGTCAGCTTTTGAGTTCATAACGTTGTAGAAAGCCGTTGAACATTTATCTATTTGGGTGTTTTATGACTTTGTAATTGAATTTAATTATAAATTCAATGCCTTTGTCTAATTTCAATTTCTGGAAGATTAAAATTAGGTTAACAATTCAAAAACTTGTATAAAATTTGACATCCAACTGTACAGGATCAATGATCATAAAACACATTTCATTATTAGTAGTTCAAACAAATCTGGTAGATGCAATACCCAACAAATTTAAATTTATAATTAATATACTACGAGATCAAAAATGAATTGCTGTCGGTGTCATCACTTTTGGAATTTTTGTTTACATGATGTTTCGTACTTAAGTTGAACTTCCGAAGGCGACTCGACCGCCACTCATTTTTAATCGCTCGTTACTATTTGTAATAGAAGCGACTGTACTGGAAAGAAATATCCAACAGCAACGTTTCCTCATTCCTCTGGTTACCCACACCACCGAATAAAGATACGTTATATTATTCCGTATTCTGTTCCCACACTGAGCTACTTTAACTTACACTCATTTATTGTCCCTTTCTTGTTCTGGGTCCACAATAGGCTTTCGCCCAATTACAAAGTGACCCCCATAATGGGGCATAAAGGTGCCCCTGCAGGAGGTCTCAAGTTGTTCTATATTTCGGTATTTACCTTACAAAACCGGCAGACAGCACCTTACAATTTTTTACAGCATTACCATTTATTAAAAATATATTACAGAAATGAAAATAGCTTCTATTTTTATAACAAAATTAAGAGTGTAAAATTCACTTTAAATTTCAATAAATATCAAAAAATCAATTACTCAACCATCATTGAAGACGGATAAACTACAAAAGCAATATCTCTGCAAGCTTAAGCATCTCTTCCAGTCTGTAATAAGGCCAAAGCTTTTTGAAGGTTATCAATAGCAGTATTAACGTCATCGTATGCTAGTGCAGATGCAGCCCATTTGCAAAATTTTTGTGCTTTTTCCATATCCTCTGGGTTTAAACTACCACTAGCAGAAGGAGAAATTGTAGGGGTTTGAGGAATGGGTGTCGGTTCAGGTGCCACAGGAGGTAAAGTGCGAGGAGCAGGTGATGGTGCAGGCGAAACGTAAGGAGCAGGTTCGTTCTCTGGTCTACTGCGTGGCGTGTTGTCTGTTGACGGGTGAAAGCCAGCATCATCCGCCATGTAAGGATCTCCATCTTCACCATCGTAGTCAGCTGGAGGACCCGGAACTGGGATTTCGCCAGATTTAAGGCAATTATGAATGTACGCAGCTTTCCATTTGGCGTATTTACGTTTGTTGCTCATTTCATCACTTAAAGTGCCAAACTGTTGAAGTACATCGCACAAAATTCCAGCCGTATAAAAAGCCTTGACTACATTTTTCCCAAATTTTTCAGCTCTATCCTGCCCATCAGCGTAATTAAATAATTGCAAAATATATTCCTCAATTAAAGCTTGTGCCACAGTCGTATTGGTGATACCCTCTACATCCGCATGATTTTTTTTAACGTCTTCGAGCCAGCTCATGATTGCTATTAAAAATGCTGTAACTTCTGGAGGTTTCTTTCCAGTAATTGATCTCATTACGACTTCACAAGCGTACATACGACCTATATTGATCAAAACATAAATAAGTAAATAATTTAAAGGTCAGATTCTTACTCCAATAACTGATAACGACATTTCGATCATCGTGTTCATCTGCCACTTTCATGTAATGTGCAACATGTTTTGCAGCAGGGGGAATCGGCGGAAAATCGGGCATTCTTCTAAAAATCTTAAATGTTAAAGAACATAAATACACCCTAAAAATAAGGAATTACGAATTTGTTGAATGACAGTTTTGGGACCTTGAAACATATGAACTACCTGATACTGTAATCTCTAACAAGCAAAATTTATACAAAGTTTGTATTATGCCTACATATTGCAATACGTGAATGTACAGGGTGGACCGGCTATGTCATTAATTTGAGTGGTAAGAGCCAAAATAAATTACAAATAAAAAAACCGACATTTCTTTGTGTTTCAACATCAAAATAATCAATGCAAAAATTGATATTAATTCGAACCCGAGGAATTACCGCCTTATTTGTTGTCAGGATTAAAGACTGGATGACCAATCAATTCCAGGCTCAGTGCAATTGGACTCAAACAGTCTAGCACCTTCTTATCGGGCCCCTCGGCAAATGTAAATCTTTTAAACTTCGAAATTAGAGGCCAGATCAGGAAGATCATCAGAGTCCTCACGGGGCAGTGGATAGTCATCATCAGATTGGGTTTGTAGAGGAGCCCATGTGTACGTTCTGTAGTAAGAGATGAAACTACCTAGCATGTGATCTAATACTGTGACGCGTTGATCAAAGACAGGCATTAGCTCTTTGGTCACTCAGGAAGGGAAGTGAAGCAGTTTAAGGCTAAACAGCTAAGGCCCTATCCTGCCTCGTCGAGCACCCCTTATGAATAGAATAGAACTAGCGGGTACACTTTATTATATATTAAAGAACAAAACTGCCGAAGAGTTGTTTCAGGTGACTAAAAAAAATTCGTTAAGCGGCGCGCTTGCGAACAAGAGACGAACAGGTCACTTTCAAATTGGTGTTTTCGATTTTAATAAGGGCTTTATGCGTTAACAAGAATACAAATATGAAATAATTTTTAACACACTTTTTATTTTTTGAAAGTGAAAGTGCACTAAAAGAGTTATGGAAATATTGTCGAAATCATCCGAGTATATTCGACATACGCTTCTCTCGCCAAAAGCAGTTTTTGTGCACTTTCACTTTCAAAAAATAAAAAGTACTTTTACGCTGTTCATGTCTGCCAAGTCACAAAAGCTCTGGAACTAAACCACTTATAGACTTGGTATGTCATCAAGATTAGAAATTAAAAAATTATTTCATTTTGTATTCTTGTTAAGGCATAAATCCCCTATATTTTTCCTGTTCTACTACAAAAAGTTAGCCTCCACCCTATATATGTACGTTACTAAGTGCAAATACAGCCCTGGGATACATACCCATGGCGTGGAGGGACGTAAAAGTCGTATTCGCCAAGCTTAATGTCGCTTCTCCTATTTAAGAAACTTATTGATGACTAAACGCATTAGGCACCTGGGCGTGTTGGGAATCGCAAACAGCTAGGTTGCAGAAGAACATGTTAGTGCAATTCATTCATAGGACCCAAACTGGCCTGTGGGATTACATATAACACAGCCAAAAAGGAGATTCAAGCAAAATTCATGAAGAAACTCCACACTCTGGTCGAAAATTCCAAGATACAACCATTCCAAGATCTTTCTGGAAACATAAAATACAATAACAGTCTGGGACCACCCCTAGTACCTACTACAATAATAATAATGATAAATTGCTACTATACTTCATTCATTATAAGAAGGTAGTAGATGGCGCTGTGTTTGAAGATAAGCACACACAGGAAAAATATAAAACGGCATAAAATTATTCTAAAGTAGAAATATCCAGTACTGCAAACAGAAATAAATCTTTGACATTAGCAGTTAATGACACTTCCAACAGTTTAGATGGCAACAGAAACTACCAGCTTGCAAAATTCGCCACTCGTTTTATGTTTCAGTGTAATACTGACTCGTGTTTTAACCAATCACACTGAAGGTCAAAGCTTCCCTATACTTTTTACCGCTACCTTCTTAAAATGAATACAGGTATAGGACCTCTTGAACTGACGAATCTCAAACATAAAATATTATTATGGCCCACTTTTCTTCTTTAAAGTATGGTTCAGAGTAATCCAAAGCTTTCTAGTTTTAGTGTCCTTCACAGAGTTCAGTGGCTCAATGTCTTTGCGGAACTCGTTAAACCCCTGCCACAGTATCACACCATTTTAACTCTTTCCAAGGCCTTCTAAGCTTAATCGAAACTCGCCCATTTTCTGGAAAGCCTTATACACGAGTCGCAGATTGCATTCAAGGTACAGTTGATAGCTTTCCAGATCTCTCTGAACCTGAAAATTCCCAAATAACATTTAAGAGACTGTGGAAAACGTTAGGGCCTCTGGAAAGCTGAAAAACCCTTCCAAGAGTCTACAAGTATTCAGAGCATTTAAGAGCTTTAGTCATTTTCCATAGCAGACCAACTCCAATTCAATGTGACTTATTGCGATGACCTTAAGAATATGATTTTAGACTTTATTTTACATAATATTAACAAGTTCCCTAAAAAGCACAAGCCCTGTATACAAGAATCAATGCGTAATGTATCGTTAACATTCCAAAACAAGTTAAATAATAAAATATACAGACATTTCCTTCTAAACAATTTATAAATGTAGCTAGATATTATAAATAATTTAATGAAGCTTACATATGTATTAGATATCATTTAAAATTCGCAAATACGATTAAACTATTAAAAAATAACATTCAATATTGTATGTAAACTAAACATTCTAACTACTCATGTAGCACCAAATTAGCTCAATAAATGCCTTTAAGCTGTATACACTTGCTTTTTTATCTACATTAACCAGGTAGTTAACCAGATTTAGATGAAGTTAAAACTACTAGAGGCACACAACCTACGAAACGTGGTAGGTTTCTAGTTATTCCAAATTTAAGGCCACACATTCGAAATGTACATTTCCATAACATTAACAATATATGAGTACAATTTTGCTAAATTAAAGGTCTTTAGTTAAATGTTAAAAAATTATTGCCGGGTGACCTTTGAAATTAATATTTAATGATAGAATACAAGATTATATAAGCGAATGTTAATAAATTATGACACATAGTGAACATCACATTCTAAACCCACTTATAATTGATAAAATTACCTCCTCATAAATTAAGATTTAAATATTGCTAAAACGAAAGTAAAGCTAATTGAAAATGAAGCGTGAAGAAATAAAAAAATTACATGAAATTTTTCTTAGCACAATCGGGACATATAATATCATCCGCATCAGTAATAAAACCACGTCCGACAAGGCTCGTACGGCAATTGGCGCAATAAAAGCAATCGTTGTGCCAATGCCTGTCCTCGAACGATATAAACTTCGTACCTCCGATACCAGTAATTGGCTTATTACAAGACGTGCATCTCTTAGCAAACAGTTCGCCGAAACATTCGGCGCAGTACGGCTTGTCATCTCGACTGGTAAAGCGAGCGCCGGCCAAGCTGGTATTGCAGTTGGTGCACGTGAAGCATTCTCTATGCCACGGTTCGTTCTTGTAAGTTACACCTCCGCTTGTAATCACCTAAAAAAGATTGTAATTTAAATGTGACAAACAATTTCAGTTCGAGTACTACCTTATTGCACTTGATGCAACGAGTGGCGTACTTATCCTCGTAGCACTTGGCGCAGTAAATTTCCTGCTCCCTCGGAATGAAGCTCTGGGTTCCAATGGGAGTTTTACAGACGTTACAACAGAAACACTTCTCGTGCCACTGCCTTGTTTTATATTCCATCTTCTTAGTTCCTAAAACAAAATGGCCACATTTTATTCTGCTGTTAATAGTAAATAGATGAATAGGCAGTTGCATGATTAAAATCTGAAATAAACTTCTGTTAATTTTTTCTTGTATTTTGAATTTTTGAACATAACATTAATGTATTTGCCAATGTTTTAACCAAAAAAATGGTAAGGTACCTAGTCGTCAGGAAAGTAAGCACATTTTTGGTGTTACAGATCAACAAAATTTTAATGCTATAGAGTAATTACGCTACTAAAAATAACGGCAAGCATCCAGAATAAATTTACTCAGTATGCCCTATAACGCTAAGTTTTAAAAAAAACTATCCAAATAGGTAGGGAGTAAATAATGGATAAGAAATGGTTGTGTTTAGGATGTAATCCTGTTGTGTAATTCAATCCTAGATACATTAGAAAACAGTTGTTATAGTTTCCATAATTAGTTTTAAAACCAATAAACCCTTTACAATGGGCCATATGAATAAAAGGAAGCAAATGCTTATACTTACAAAATTCAAAGTAAATACTCGTAACTGCCCCTTCATACTGGTCTGTTTAGCAGCGCTGCACTGCGTCCTGTCCTGCTGCTCAGCAGCGCTGCTAAATCGCCCAGTGTGAAGGAGCAATTACGAGTATTTACTTTGAATTTCGCAAGTATAAGCATTTGCTTCCTTTTATTCATATGGGCCAATAAAGCGGGTATTTAATTGATCCAAAAATTGAATCAATAATATACTATGTGTGCTATTTTTTACTATTTACTCTCTAGACTGTGTGGCACAAAAAAGTAATGATGCAATGACTAATAAAAGAAATCGGATTATTATAATTGTTTAATAAAAACCAGTTATAATGAACAGACATAATTTTGTTAATTAATTCATAAACAAGGAAAGTTCAAATGTGAATCTTTTTTACAATTAATTACGACATGTGACCCCCCACTTCTTACTGTGTTTGTTGATTAGGTATAATTAGGTATATTTAATTATGAGATTGATTGATAGTTGATTAAAACGTACGCACTTGAAATGATGACTTTAATTTTTATAGCACGGTTTTAGGTCTGCAATTACATTTTTTTGGTAAATCGTTTTAGAATAATTAAATAAAGGCCATACAAATGAGCACAGCATTCTGAGGAATAGGATTTAAATTCAATTTTGATGAGAAATAACAATTTAATTATAGGTTATTTGGCCTTGCTCGATTTTATTATTTGACATAGACCTAGAAATTAATCTAATCTAGTCTAATTAGATATTTAACAAGCAGGACGAATATTGCAGTTTAAATGCACGTCCCGATACCGTTTTTCCCCCACATCTGAACTACTCCAATAAAGTTAGTTCACAAAGCTGCTCATAAGCAATACCAGGTCTGATTCAAATGTTTCAATTCTTACCAATGTAGTTTCATAAGAGAAGCGTCCTCTCTAGACTAGTTTGCCCATATCCATTACAAGGAGGCTGACTCTCTTATTAATGATTTTCTCTTTAGTCAAACCCTTTCTCGCAGATAAATTGTGTACAAAATGAATGGATGAGGACAGGAACCAAAATGTTCCATCCATGAATAACAAGACGACTTGACAACCCAGCTTGACTCTTAAGACCACCCGACTTTAACTCACTGACCCAATTTGAAGCGTTGACCCTACATGCCCGCCAAGTCATCTTAACCCGCGCACTGTATTTAACTTATTAGAATCCTGATCAATTTAAATAAGTTCTCCTCAGTGAATGATATCGACATTTTTCACAATCCCCTAAATGTAAATCAAATTAGATCTTAAGCCCTAATGTATAGGAAAAAAACTCAAAAATCACCACGTTAGCACGCTAGGGGATGGCACCCATATGTAGCCGACCCCACGTCATGTAGCCCCTTTAAACGCAACACCCTGTATATCTTGAAGTCAATTGTTTGCCATTTTTTTCCTGATTACATTAAGATATCTTTTTTTTTATTTTAGCAATGAAAACCTTATTTTTTTACTGTTTTTAAATTTAAATAGTAAACGATGTTGTTTTGTTTATTGTATCCATGGTAATTAAGACAGCTGATACCAATCAATAAAAATTGTTAATGATACAAACATGTCATTTCAAACAACATGATAAAATATGTCATAGCCGCGTATATGCCCATTTATTAGAAAAATGAAATTTTGGACGTATAACTTTATTACGCTGTTATGTACGTCGGGACAGAAGAGCGTATGATTCATTAGCTTAATAAATTTAAAAAAATTTTTTAAATAATACAAAATACAGTGCGTTTGAGATAAGAGGGCCACCTCAATTTTATATTTATGTCTTATATATTTGGAAAGAGCAATTAATTTCCTGTACAACAACATAACATATGGATATGGTTGATATACAAAAAATGCAAGTCCGTTCTGCACATACGCGCACATAGTTTTCAACATGGACTCTACGTTTGTCTTAGAGTTAACATTTCACAAAATATTGAATATACTTTGGGCCTTATCAAGCGCAATAGCCAGATTCGAATTAAAGGTTTTGTAGGTCCTATACCATTGGTTCCCATTAGCCACAACGTAATAAAATGCGGCCATGTTGCGTATTTAAAAAAATAGTTAAGCATACATATTATGTTGTATAGAAATTTAGTAATTTGTACATCGTAAAGTAGCTTTCGAATTAACGTGACGGTTATGCTTTTTTTATATTATTAATTTGTACGGACGATTCGTTGTCGATCAAGATTATGATTTTGTTTAGTTAACGTCAATTGAATTATTGATTCTTATTGAGTATTAATTACGGTTTGTAGTATTCGAGTACCCGAATATCAAACGCGTTTTCACGCTCATGCAATTTGCGCAAATTGACTTGTGCATGCCATTTTGTGCAAGTAAATTGGTGCATGAAAACGAAAATTGTTTACTTGCGCAAGCCAGAAAATTTGGCTTGAGTAAAATCTGGATGGCCAGATAATTTGCACGTGGTTGGTGCAAATGCATGAACGTGTAAACGACACACCAATTCGACGCATGCGTAGTAGTCGAGTAAAATTAGACTAATATTTGCTCAAACCTAGAACAAATTCGGGACAAGCAACCGATGTCCGAAATTAGTAGTACCAATAATGCTCTTTAACATACTAAAAGTCCCCATATGTCCGAGGTGCGGAACATCCTGAAAATTGCGCCGCCATCTTGGATTTTCATGTTTTTTGCTAATAACTTTGTTATTATTATTTTTTTCGGAAAAAGTTAGGAAAGGGAATTTGTGAAGCTTTAAAATACGAACCCAATGCTTCTTTATTTCTCGAAATCGATTGGAAACTAAGGGAGTTATGATTTTTTTATTGTATAATATATATCACTATACACGAATAACTTCGCGAATAATTCGATTTATCCGATAGGCGAAATTCATTGGAACTTTATAGACCAAAGAGTCAAAGACTAATTAGGTATTCTTTATCGGTTCAACAATTTTCAGTCCAAATTTTAGTTTACCGCCCCCTCCTGGGTAATATTTTCAAATAACTACCGAATGGATGAGCTTCTCAAACAAGGAGAAGCATTTATATTGAAGTGGTACGGTGCCAAAAAATGCAAAACGCTCGATGACTACCGGTACATCAAGTACAACCAAGTCGTGGCAAGGCAGAATCTCATTACCAATTTCGAGCTAGCAACATTACCTTCTACATCGCATGCTGCTAGATTACATTTGAGACGGGTGTATCTACAGGTCCAGAATTGGATGGGTGAGGAATTGAACCCTAAAGAATTTGGCTGATTTACGAATCAAAACAATGTCTTGGAGCCCGTAAGAATGGAAAAACCCTGTGGACTGGATCTCATTTTGAAAATGCTGTTTTGCGGTTGGAAAGAATCGTGTTCTAATTTTTGTAGGAAGTCGGGGCTCAAATGCACTGCATGTTGCAGGAATCCCGCCTTCATTTTTTATTTCTGATCCACAAAGTACATTAAAAATAAAAAGACCCGTGTGTCTTCAATTTTTATTTGCGAGTAAAATAAACCCAAAATAAATTATTGAAAAGCTGTGTTTTTAGTCCGAATTTGAAACGCTTCAGACTAAATACGTCACAAACCTACAACCAATCACGTAGAAGTGAGCTGGCAACCTTCGCGAGGGTCTGACGTTTGTCACTTTTGACGTTTTGAGAGGGATGTTTAACTGCATCTAGCACGAAAGTGACAAGTGCCTGTGACAGATGACGCAAGTTACAAATGCCATTCTCCTGCAATATTGCCAAGTCGTTATGTCATCTGAATGGTTCTAGGAGCTGATTGGTCGGGCTTATTACGTCACAGAGCCCGCCACAATCATATCGTTTTGAATAAACCTTTAAAACCGCACATGTTCATTATTTTATTGCTAATCAGCCTCTATTTTTAAATAAACTTTTACTGTCCAAAAAAATGATTTATGGTTTCAGGTACACGCTTATTAAATTAGAACTGCGGAATTCAACTATACTGTAAACCCCCATTGTACTGGAAATTTTTGCGGCAACAGCTTAGACCCAGAAAGTGATGATGCTGAACCTTAACCCTAAATTGTCCATTGCAAACAAATATACGTTAATCATGTTTAGTTTTTTAATTAGTTTAGATCAACTACTTATACCAGAAAAGGGGGATGAAGCGAGGGCAGATGGGCGGGGAGAGGGGGAGGGCTGGAGGGGGAAGTAAGGGTAGGGGGGGATATCACACATATCTCCGCTCATGTCTGGGGGAGGGAGGAGTGTTGCTCTGTCGTATAGTAGGTATACACAGCGAATGCTGTATAGTGCGATTATTGATGCAATAAAAAAATCATAACTCCCTTAGTTTTCAATCGATTTCGAGAAATTAAGAAGCATTGGATTTGTATTTTAAAGCTTCACAAATTCCCTTTCCTGACTTTTTCCGAAAAAAATAATAATAACAAAGTTATTAGCAAAAAACATGAAAATCCAAGATGGCGGCTCAATTTTCAGGATGTTCCGCACCTCGGAGG